CTACTTGTCTGTGCTTCCTCACTTTTGTAGAGCCTCTATCTCTGACTGCATGTCCGCTGAAAGATTTCGGTATCGAAGCAAACTTCCAAGCTGTTCCCCTCGCAAATGGCAACGTCCAAACTCGGAGGTAAGCGTATAGTTTGCCTTTAAGAGTGACCGTCTAGCGCTGTGCTGGCTTCCTTTTATTTCTATTGAAAGTATGGTGATTATACCCTCTTCGACAACTACAACATTGCAGCGTGGCACATCTTAGAAAAAGCAACAAACCTTTCCCGAATTCACCAAGTATAGCAGACTTAGGCACTCGCACACTATCGAAATGGACTGGGCATGTGGCTGAAGCACGAATTCCCAATTTGTCCTCCTCCTTGTCCACGGACACTCCCTTCTGATTTCTGTCCACCAGGAAGCAGGTGATACCCTTGTGTCCTTTCGATGGGTCAGCGTTAGCAAACACCTAAACATAGTAGTCACGGAACTTACTGAAAAGCTCTATTGAGATTTTTCTGAAATATCCTGGATCCGTGAAGAACAACACAACAAAAACGCCACTTTTCGGCACTATTTACCCTTTAGTGCCCAACCATCAGAATTGAGCCTGACCGACTTTGTTCTCCGTGGACAGATTTGGCTCATGATGTTGTCTCCTGGGTATTTTGACCTCCTGAATACGAATAAAATGGCAATTCGCGTAAGTATTAGTATTAGGCCTGGAACGTCTTGACGCCGCGGGTCGCGTCCCCGCGCCGGTGATCTGGGTTATTTTTTTGGGGCGGCCAGCACCTGTAGCGGCGGGGGCAGTGCAGGAGGTTTCAGGCCGAGCAGATTTGATATTCGTCTTCAGGAGGTCAGACTACTTCTGAGAACAAGTTCTCAGCGAATTTGGTAATTTTAAGGTATTTTGGCGCCGGCGCCTGTGGCGCGGGCGCCAGGAGGTTTCGTGCCTAGCGGATGTGATATTCATGTTCAGGAGGTCAAACTACCCAGGGTACAAATTTTCAGCCAATTCTGCCAAGGCAGAAAAAAGTCGGTCAAAAGCAGGCCTGTTTTCGGAAGATTGGGGCAGTAAAGGGTAAATAGTGCCTTCGTTTAGTATATTCTATTCACTTTAGAATTCACCTTCTAGAGACTCAAAATGCGGTGCCTAGGTAATAATTTGTCGTCTATGTGAGCCGTGCACTCTCTGCAACTCTCATTATTTTCAAAATGGCCTAATAGAACAATTTGCTATGTATGAATTTCTCCCTTACTGGGCACTTTTTTCGGTACAATTCGGCTTCGCTGGGGTTTCCTGGTATCCATCGATCACTGCCGATGCCTTCTATGAAGTTCCTTGAGAAATCCTTCGAAGCTATGCGTGAGCTGGAGCTTCGTTTGCCTTGACAAGACAAGGAGTATCCGAGGATTTCCAACTGTAGTGAACCAACGAAATCAGAATACCGTAGCCAGTCGTCAAGCTCGACTTTCCTAATTCTTAGATCAGCGTAAGCCAGGTGACAGTAAGATGAGAAAGGGCGAAGCGGCGAAGTCGACGCCTTCAGGATGCTCCTCGAATTCTCGCGCACCCAGTTTCGACGAAGCACTCAAATGCATGTCTGGTTTATACATCATTATCACCGAAGTCAGGGGGAGTGTCACTCACGCGTTGGTTTGAGCGGCTCCAGTCCCTCTTCCACCATTCATTGAACGGACGAAAAACGATGGAAAGCAAGGCATA